TTAGAATTTTTATTGAGTCACTTCTTAAAGTATCTTTCCAAACTCTACATCTGTTCTCCCCACCTGTCCTGCTGGCAAAAACCCTATGATGATTCTCTAGATGAGCTCACAATATTCTGGGATAAAAAATATAGTTCGGATTATGAAAATAAAATAGATACACCTTAAGATGAGGACAGATAGCCATACTTGTACAGTTGGAGAGAAATTGAACTCTTATTTTCCTAGCTATTTTGATGCTCTTCAAATCTTATATTTTTATTGCAGCTACTACTGTACTAACTGTGTTTCTGTGAGAATAGCACTTTTCACCATAAACTCTTTCTTTGGACTGGCTGCCATGCTGAAGAGGTATCAATGCTCTAGCTAGCTTACAAGTGGACAGCATTCCTATCCAACAGAGCTGCTGGACTGCAAACTCATCAGTCCTAACCAGCATAGCCAATGGAGAGGGAGTATGGGAATTACATTCCAGCAACATATGGAGGACCACAATTTGCCCATCTCTGTCCTAACTTTTTAGAAGCAACAGCATACTGTGTTTCTCCTACTGTTTTCTATGCAAAAAGGGAATATTGCTACATGGAAGGGCAGGTCACATAGAATTTTACCAGCTGCACTGTGCCCTGCTATTTAAACTGTGACTTCATGGGTTTATTCTAGGTCTGGGAAAACCAGTTCAGTGGGATCAGAACAATAACATCCTTGAACATCTGCCTGTTTTTAGAATTGCACCTTCTTCCAATATTGTGAAATACTTGGAAGCACAATCCTCTGTCTTAGTTAATGCCATACATTTTATGGGCTGGCAATAAATCCTGGTTAGAATGTTAGACTAGGACTTGCGAGGTTTGGGTTCTAGTTCTTACTGAGTCATGACACTCACTGAGTGATGTTGGACAGTCTGTGTTTGTCCCATTTTATATTATTATTGTGAGAATAAAAACGTGGAGGAGGAAGACTTTCAGCTCATTGGAAGGAAGTCAGGATGTAAATGTAACTAGTAAATAATGTTGTTGTCATGTGCCTTCCAGTTGTTTGCATCTTTTGGTGGCCCTAAGTTGAATCTGTTGTGAGTTTTTCTGAGGCTGAGAGTGTGTGACTTGCTCCTATTGTGAGTTCCATGGCTGAGTAGGGAATCGAACCCTGATCTCCAGAGTCATAGTCCAGTACTCAAACCCACTGCACAATACTGACTCTCAACTAATATATATTATATTATATTATATTATATTATATTATATTATATTATATATAAATAAACAAGTGCTAAGGACTTTTGGAATCTGATTCTAGGCACCTGTACATGGAAGTAAGTTCTACTAAAATGAACTAGGGATTTTCTTGGAAGCATATGTCTTAGCATTGCAGTGTTGGTGGTGCTTTGTGATTCTGTGTTATAGCCCTCATAATCAAATTTTTGACACACATGGGGAGGGTATTGGCTGTGCGCCCTATGTGGACCCCCCTTCCTTTTTTGAACCTCAGCTCTTGAAGATTAAACAAGCTCACGTTTGATGGCGTGATTTTGCAGCGGCATAGTTTGCCATCAGAAATTGCAAGAAACTGCCACTATAGTTGCTTGTCCTTCCATCTTCCCCCTCTTCCTTGGTAGTGATGGCATTTCTGTACTCAGCCACTCATGGAAGGAAGACATGGGAAGGATGAGAAAACTAGCAATTGGTAGCTCTAACAATATTTCTGCTGCTGCTGCTGCTGCTGTTTTGCCTCCACAACCTGATTGTTTCCCAGATTGTTTCCTGTGCAAACCTGACAAGTGCAAGGGGATGGCTGCTTCCACATTGTCCTGCAAAGACATGAAAAGGAAGATCCAGGAGAGAAGAGGACAACACAAAAGCAGAAAGAGTAATGGCAAGGAATGCATGTGTGGCCACTACCCCTGCAACAAGGACTTGATTATGATTCGCTCGTTTGATGTAATTGATCCAGGCGTTCCCTGGCGGAGAGTCCAAAATTTGAAATTCCAAAATCTGAAATATTCCAAAAACCCAAACTTTTTTCATGAATGGCTGAGATTGTGACACCTTTGCTTTCTGATGGTTTGATGTACACAAACCTAGTTTCATGCACAAAATTATTAAAATACTGTATAACATTACCTCCAGGCTATCTACTTAAGGTGTCTATGAAACACAGCTCAATGAAAATTATGTAAATTCTTCCCCAGTCACTTGCTGAATCTTTCTGAAACCTGGGAATCCAAACCTAGTTGATGGTTCATCCTATGAGATAGTTTGCTCTAGGTTAGTGGTCCCCAAATCTTTTTGGGTTACTGCCCCCTTTCCTCCTGGGTGACAACCCTAGTGCCTCTGCCAAACCTATTTATTGATAATAGGGCTATTGTTTGTGCAAGAGCCACCTGGACAGTGGCATCTACTTCCCAGCTTGTAACTACCACTTCCTCCGCACTAAGCTTCTCATGTGCAAATACAGCAGTGATAGTGGCCCAGGCATGCTCCTCTCTCTTGCCCATGCTGACCTTACAGCAAAAGGATGGGCTGCTGATCAAGAAGCCAGTTGAGCAGCTATGGAGCAGCTGGTTGAGAAGCCTCTTGCCTGTACTGGCCTTTGCTGCAAGGCTGGCAAGGGCAAGAGGCTTCTTGGTTGCTGCTCGACTGGCTGCTCAGTTGCTGCTCCCAAAGTGACCATGTTCAAAGGGAGACACTTACTCCCAGCGAGGAAGGACTCTGGAAGTGAGAGAAGCAAGCAACTCTTTTTGAAGAATCAACCCTGAATACTAAGAGATATGCCTTCCTTACACAGCTTCAAGTCAACTTCCCCCTTCACAAATATTGTTTCTTCTGCACCCTCTTGACCTGTCTGACAAAAGAAAACAGGAGCAGCTGCGCAGCTCCAACCTGACAAAGTCCTGACAAAGATCGCAAAGCTTAAGCAGGGTCCCAAATGTGAACGATCTTTTCTGCCAGCACTTCTCCCCTGTCGCCATGTGCTCTAACTTCTTATCCCCATCACAGTCCTAAAGGCTGCCGTTTCCCTGTGTCTTTCTTGTGTGCCAATACTTTGACACAAGGAACTCCTGCTGCCTCCTTTCCTCTCAGTGCCCCCCTAGATTTTTCCACCACCCCCAAAGGACAATACTTTGGGAATCATTGCTCTAGGGCACTGGCTATTTTGCCCTAGCTGTGGGGGACCATGAAGAAATAGATTAGAAATGTTAAGATGTTCAGTGTAACAGTTCTCACAGCAACAAGTTATTCTATATTTAAAAACCACTTTTAGCAGTTCTCATTTATATCAGGAGCAAATCTTGACCCCTTTAAGGTGAGATCATTGTGAAATACTTCAGATTACAACAGGGGCTGCTCATAGCAATATATTCTTCACCTATCCTCAACTACAGTTATGAAAATTACTGCTCAAATCAGAGCAAAAAGGGAAAGGACATGAAAATAAAACCATTACCCTTGCTTGTCAGAAAGTCCCTGGCTCCAATCCTGTGAACCCTAGCTTTGATGTACTATTTCTTTATTTATGTATTTTTCATTTTTATGCTGCATTTCTCCCAGAAAGGGACTCAAAGTGGCTCACAAATAAAAACACTCTTAAGAAACCCTTTACAAAAAATAAAAAATAAAAATACAGTACTACCAATTATGGGTGGGTGTGAGCATGCTGTTTCAAAAAGTGTGTGTGCATGCATGCATGCATCTTCACAATAGCCTAATGCCCTAATCCATTGTAAAGTCATTTGGCAATGAGTTTGGCAGATTTACTGAGGAAATTGCAGTTCTGTTTCCCTGAAAGTGTGGGAAGCCAAGCCTGAGAGAACACAAAAGAAGCACAAGCCCTATGCTGGGAGAGACTCTGAGCAATATCTTGTAGCTCAAAGTGTTAGAAGTGCTGAAGAAGTAACCATGGGAATGGTTTGATGAAATTGAACCTTGAGCTGGGTTTATGGCATGCAAGTGCTTTGAGTCAAAGTGTAGAGTTCATAGATAAAGGAAAACTTGTGTTTTGATTTGCCACGGGTACTTAATCCAGAATTATATATTACAGAGAGTTTTTTGTGTTGTCTGCTGCACTGTGATACATGTATAGACCTTGTTCCCTGCTCCGTGTTCAGTGAGTAGAATACATGTTGATGAAGAAGGATGATTTTATTTCTTGCATCTCCAGTTAAAAAGTTCTTGGTGTGAGATCACTGCTAGAGACTTTAGAGCAGTGTGGAAGAACCAATATCTTATTGAATTTATACTTTGCCTTTCTCCCGGGATGGGACCCAAAGCATAGCATGAGATTTTATTGAACTGCAACTCCCAGCTTCCTTTGCTACAGACGTTGACCATGCTAGCTAATAGTGAGAGGATTTGGAGTCCAACAATACCTGGTGGATCACATGTTCTTCATTGCTAACTTGGAGATTGCTGTCAGTCAGAAATAAATGCTGGACAAGGTGAGGTGTACTGTGATTCTATAGAAGGCTGTTTCATAGCTTCTCATTTTCCATGGGGCTTTGTTTGTGTAGGATTAGGCTACATATGTTAACTTGGGTGCTCACCCCATTCCCAAAGACACTTAGGGAATGGCTATTCTGTGATTAGGCTAGGGCTTTTTTACCAAACAGATTATGCTCAACTTTGGAAAACTAAATTTGCAGTGGATTTTGGTCCTAGCAGTAGTGCTATTTCATGGGCCAGCAACCTCCTTTTCAGCAAGTACTGTAACACATTTCTTCATATATATAACATAGGTGTGCCCCTTTTGTTCTTTTCATTTCCCTGTTGCAAATAAACACTTCAGAAGGAACAAAGATTAATGCTGTGTTTTTTAATGTTCTTTTTTTCAGCAGAGGTGAACTTGGTGCACTCAGCTTCAGTACTGGCCAACTTGAATTTAGTTTTGTAAAAGCTGAGCCAGTTCTAGAAGTGAATCTGTCTTCTTTTTGTTTTTCTTCACACGTGTCTTGAATAAAATCTATGTTTGGAACAAACAGGTAAGCTCAGTTTAGGCAGATTCCAGAGGAATGACTGTTGCCATCTACAGCAAGAGGTTTTGCTCACATAGGACTTTATCACACAGGGGAAATCCCGTGCAGAAATCAGGTTTTAAATTGGAAAAAAAACCCCTCAAAAGCAGGTTGATTTTCACATGACATCATTGTTAAACTGTTGTTAATCCAAACAGAAAGTAGTCAAAAGCCGCTTCTTTTTACTTTCAGAAAATCCGGAAAGTAAAAAGGAGCGGCTTCTGACTACTTTCCGTTCGGGTTAACAACAGTTTAATAATTACTGTTTCTAGATGCAAAACTCCTCCAGTCAGCATAGCTGACAGCCCTTAACAAATAACTTTTCTGAATAAGAAAATACTTTTCACAAAATATTAATGACACTAGGAGATCTGTGACTGATGTTGCTGTGTCCCCTTCCATAAAATGAAAGAGGGGGCATGCTAATGTGATCATAGCAGAAGGGAGCTTTGCCTGCAGCCCATATGAACATTCTTCCCAGCCCTGATGGCTTTGTATAGAACAGGGGAAATAAACAACTTCCATGAGGAAATAATGTTGAGGAGACTGATCCTGATTCATGAACAGCATGAGCTGTGGTAGAGGCAGCTTTTGTTAAATCTTTGTGACATGAGAACATCCTGTTGCTATAGAGAAAATGATCAAATGAGTTTCGGTGGAGAAGGGGTGACATAAAACACCCCTGGGAGTTATTCGTTTCCAAAGTGATTCTTGCTTACAATGTTATCAAGGAGTTGATTTGAAAATAGCAATGACATACTTTTTTTTAGTGTGTCACACTGATGTTGCAATGTGCAACCACAGTGCCTGTTATTTGTACTGCTAGCTGGATGTGTTTTTTAGTCAGACAGGTGGTCTGTTGCATTATTTCCTTGATAGATTGTCAGGACAGCCAATCTCCAAATGTCAGCTCAGATAAAGGTGATGATCAGGAATCCCTGTTACAAGCTTTGGCTGATATGCCAACTGTGCCCCTTCCTAGAATCGGAGTGCACATATATTGGGCTTCCTTTATACCAAGTCTGGAAACTCCAACTGGTTCAAAATATGGCAGCCAGACTGATTATGAGCACATCCAGGAGTGATCACATTACACTAATCTTAAAATCTCTCCACTGGCTGCCAGTTAGTTTCTGGGAAAAGTACAAAGTGTGGGTTATTACCTTTAAAGTCCTACATGGTTTGGATC